ATCAGGGTAGAGTTTTTTCAGTATAGATGCTCTGACTCACTGCTTTGGACAGCAAGTGTACAATTTTAAATTCTTTTACTTATGACTGCACAACATATAGCACCTGAAGTAATTACTTTGACCTACCTCACTGCAGAACTTTTTTAGGAATTCACCTGAGAATATGACATTTTATTAAACATGGAAAGGGCCCTAAATGACAGCTCTGAGTCTGTCATTTAACCTGATATGTGACAGTTTAATCCTATAATTTCACTTGGCATATCCTTGTCTCTTCATTTCCTACCCCTTCTCTCTGAAATCTCATTTGTGAGAATTTTGGGTATTTGGTTGGGGATTCATGGACTTCTGCTGCAATGCAAGCATTGTCCTTGCATGTGCAGTAAATTTGGTATGCTCCCAGTGTGTTGGAACTTACTGTGCAAGCCCCTGATCCAAAATGAGATCCTGAAAACCTCAGACAAATAGCCTGAAAGTAGGTATCATATCTCAGCTGAGTGATGACAGTGTGATCACACACACTCGAACCTGCCAGTCTTGTCCCTTGGTGTGGGCAGGGCAGCCACCAGCAGCTCTCCTCTCCATCCAAGGACAGGACAGCTGGAAGATGGAGTCTGTGGGGATGGAAGCAGGACCAACTGACCTCCAAAGGGTGGTGGAGAAGAGGTACTGCAGGGGCAGACAGAAGTTGGGGGAATGGAGAGAGCGAAGAAAAGGGGTTATTAGAAGCCAACTATAACCTTCCCTTCTCTACAAACTGGAGTATAAAGCATTACTACATTAATGTCTTAAGAGGTCCATCCTTGTATTTCAGGTGTTCACCCTGTTAAAAGCTTTGATTACAGACTGAGGAAAGGAAGGAGGAAAAAGGAACAAATCATTAAACATGTAAAACTATTAAGCAAGGCTTTCATTTATAACACTGACTTCTATTCCTGTTATTCCTGTGCCTTTAGCAGTTGAAAGCTTTTAAAAGAAACCTAATTAATGACATCTGCATCTGAGAGTGGTGCTGAAGGTGAGCCCACTGCTGTGCAGAAGGAATGGTGGAATACGGAGCTTATTTCTGGTGACCACAGTGCCACGTCAGTGTCAGTTTCTACCTGAAAGGAGAAAGAGAAAATAACACAGCAGTTTGTGTTTGGTGCTGCCTGACTTGCAACTTCAGTGCTAGAGAGAGGCAGGGAATGCAGTCATGTCAGCCAAGCTTAGGCTGTCTGAGGAGGGAGGCCAGACTGTCCCAGCCAAGCTGCAGCTGTGCTAGAAAAGCCATAACCATGGGAAGCTAAACTAGGTGTAATCAGAAGTAGAAGGAAATAGAAGAAAGTGACAAAGGCATAGGAGGATGGGTGCTGAGGGGGCTGGGAAGGTTTCCAGTATCCCAGCATTACATCCCAGGCAAACCTTTCAAGTTCTTTGCCACCCAGCCTATGACAAAGCCATGTGTTGTGTCACAAGCTTTGGGAAAAAGCATCTGCTCCACTGGATCACAAGATGGGGGAGTGATCACAGCTCAAGGCTGTGGCTGGTGGTGAGGAACCTTGACCTAGCAGATATGCCCTCTAGCTACAAACCCACACTGGGACGAAGCTGTGGCTGTTCTCAGCCAATGTGAGCTACAACCTGGACTATTGGAGAATCCCTGGAAGTGTTTAAGAGGCATCTGGATCTGGTGCTAAAGGATACGGTTTAGGGGTTACAGCAGAGCGGCAGGTTAATGGTTGGACTCGATTGTCTTAGAGGTCTCCTCCAAACTTGATGATTCTATGATTCTAAGGCCCCCTGTTTCCTGGTGTGGGCATGGTCCCACAATGACAGAGCTTGGCTGTTTCACCCCACTTGCTTTCCTGGTGCCAGGGTCAAATTAGGGATGTGAGGCTCAGTGATGGCTGTAACAGCCAATCCTCTCCTATATTTGTGTTCCTAAACTAGCCCTCATTTCCAGCATGTTGACTTGGGTAATGGATTTCTAGTCTCTCCCACCTCTTACTTTTCAGTCAGTCTTAATTGCCAGGACTGTATTAGCTGGTCATTTAGTTTGATCTAACCCCATAATTATTTTTTTTTGCTGACCTTAAAATCTCTTGTACAGCAGGCTGAGTTAGATTGCTCTCCCTTCAGTCAATTTATAATACAGGCTTCAGTGCAGACCATTAATCTTAACTGGTAATGTTTGGATGACTTATTTAATATTAGGGAATGACATACCAATATCTACCTATGATCTGTAAAGTAGCTGTGAGGGGTTTTGGTAGATTACTATTTATGGACTCCCTAAGAATATGAATTCAGGTTGTGTTTGGAAAAGGGAAAAGAATAAATTATTCAAAACCCAGGACATTTACAGGAGCTGGATCACTCTTCCACGGCACTATGAAGATGGCATGTACTAAGTGTTTCCTTCTCCAGAACTTACTTCACTAGTCAGCAGCGACCGATAAGTCAACAGCAACGATGAATGCAGCAAATTTCTGAGGGAAATTAGCCTGTTCTTTTCTTAATAAATATCCAAACACAACAAACAAAACTAAGCACATAATGACCACGCCCACTCCCATTTCCCAACACAAAAGACATACACATACAATAAACCTATTTGAAAGAGCCTGGTTGTAACTGCTAAGGGGTAAAGTGCAAGATTGTTCACTCAACTATGAATCCATTTCCTTGTCACTAGAGAGAAGAAACCCATGTAACAACAAAAATCTCAGGGGAAATGCTGTGACTTCTTTCTCATTTTCCTTGCCACAGTAGCACATTTTTGTTTTGTTGGAGAAGCAGGATTATTTGTGGATTATCAGCTCATTGTCAGCAGGCAACTTCTCAGAGTTAATTATAAGAGAACAGCACTTTGAACCAATCTCTCATTTGGAGGTGCAGATCCTGTGAGAGTAGCTGCAGCTGTGATTCCTTTGGCCATGAGGTACGTTATGGGATCGACTCTGATTCAAGGGGGTTTGTAGTCCTTACTACTGACCGTAAATTAAAATAGTAATTTGAGTAATACTTGTCATTCTGTTTAGTGTATGTGAATTTGATGCTTGAAATAAGCAAGGAAAAGCAAGCAGCGAAGCGCTGTCTACATGCTTCTGTCCGAGTCTTCCACCTCAGTTCTGGGGGTGAAAGCGCTGTCTACATGCTTCTGGCGAGTCTTCCACCTCAGTTCTGGGGGTGCCACTCCTGAATATTCTCTCCTGATTTCTGTTTTAGGTTTGTCTTTGTTCCAGGGTCAGAAACAAAAGGCTTTGGATCTTATTGTGGGAGTGAAACATGTTGCTTGCTCTTTGCAATGGCAATTCTCTAGGCAGTTTTAAAAAAGGAAAAAAAAACCAAACATGAAAAACCACCTCTCCAAAAACGTGCCTGAAATCTTTGGCCTTTTCTTAAACTGTGAATCCTTCTGTGCAGATGCCTGCTGCTCCTGACCTGCTGAATGTCAGGGCTGAAACGAAACATACCTTGTTCTCTCTCTTTGATCGAGTTCAGCACATGTTCAGGGAATGAGAGGTGCAGGATTTTGGCACAAAGACTCCAAATGCTAACACATGCATGCACGCTGCCTGATGTTTCATTTCAGGTTATAAACTGGATTACAACATGCTTTCACCCTGTGAGCATTGTCCAGGGAAACCAGGCTGGATCTGCCTGATGCATAAAACCAATCTGGCTAAATGATTGCCAAGTGTAAAGTGAAGGATGTACATAGAATCTGTATTTTTAACACTAATTTAGATTGCATTTCAATCATGATAAATGATTATTAATATTATTTACCTCATCAATTCAAGAATGGAATAATTATATTCTGTAAACTGTGCTTAAAGGGCTTAGGACAACATTTTGAACTTGTAAATAACTATATCTGTCCTAATTAAGTCAGGGTAGCGCAGAGAGTGTTTAAGCCCCACATGTTTTCCTCTTGATGCAAATGGAGCTTTGTGTCCTTTTATTTGTGGGAAGCTTTGTTAGCCTCAGTTAGCTGAAATACTTGCATATGATTTGTTTTTTATTCAAAAGAAAAGATACACTGTATTTAGAGATGCAAATACTACCTTGTCTGCAAAACCCACCAGCTGTTACACTGGAAGACAAAGCTAATTCTATGTGGCTTCACTTCAGTAGTGTCTGTGTATTCACAAGCATCTTTGCATAGCTGAAAAATAGCAGGCACCAAATTTCTTTTGATTCCTTTGGTAACAGCCTAGTAAAATCTGAGGTGATCTGTGATCGTAAAAAATTTTAAGCAAGTAAATAGGTTAAGTAAGAGAATATACCTTTACACTAATGTCTGTTAGTTGAGCAGTCTGATAGCTTTAATTCTTGCATTCCTTGACTATGAGTTTACTAACTGCTGCCGTTGAGACTGATTCAGGTCAGATACACAACTCTGTAGTAGAAGCTGCTGCTGCTTAGTGTGTCGATAGCACAGCTTTCTGAAGAGGCTCTTTGCTTCTGTTTTAAACATTTGGTGAGACAAAGAGCATTTGTGGAGGTCTCTTGCTGCTGCAAGTTGGAGCAGGGAAGAATTGCATTCCAAGAAATACTCTGAATCCTGGAAAAATCAGGATGGAATCATTAAGTGTTAAGCTTTATCTTCTTTACTAACGAAAGTGCTTTCGTTTCATCTGTGGTGACTGTGCTGGTAGTGAACATTACATAATATTTACTCTCCCCTTCGGAGTTAAATCCTTTTTTTCCGATTTGTGAGTAATATTTGCATATGTATTTCTTAGCTGCATTGGCATGCCAGATGCACAGTGGTAGCTGTCTCTGCCTGCTAATCCTGTAATAACATTCTGGTGACCAAATTCAATGGTCCTGCGCGGAGCCTCGGAACAGCTGATTGCTGAGTAGGGAGGGAAAAAAAATAACCCAGCGAATCTGGTTGCAGCTCTCTGCTGCATCCCCATCCCACAATCCCTTGCACCATTTGCTGCAGTCTTTCTACACAGGCTGAGTGAGAAAAAGATGTGCTAAATAAAGATTGATTGGTTTTAATCCTGAAGGGGTCTCCCACTTGTAAATGACCCGAGGGGAAAAAAAATTCATGACGACTTCACTGGGCCTCCTCTTATTCTTCCATTTTTCTTTCCACCTGTCCTCTTCATGGAATGGAGCATCATTCCTTAAAGCACAAAATCTGTTGTGCATCTAATAATGACTATGCTGTAATAGGGATTCTTAAACAGTTTTACGCGTGAGGCTTGAAATATTAACAGATGATGGTTTGTTCGTTTGGATTACTGCGGAACTGCAGCTCCGTCCCTGCAACGATTTTATCCTCAGCACTGCACTGATTAAGCTATTTTTCTACAAAGATGGGTAGGTCTGAAATGCTCGAGTTTGCTCAGTGTTATTCCTGGTGGCTGCTGCTGGGTTTCTCCTTCTGTTTTGGCCCCGGATTGTTCATTATGCTTCTGCATGCTGTAAGAATGAAGAGGGTTGCTGTGTTTTAAACAAGGCACTAAGCTGATTGCAAGAGTGGGAGAGAAAGGAATGCAAATTTAGCTTATCAAGCCTTTTACACAAGTGGACTGTGTGGCAGTTATGATTATTAGTTTGCTCACTGTGTTTTGTATTGGCTAATTTTGGGGCTCCTGCTAGAAATGGCTTGAATCCGCTCTTTATCCCTGCAGACTGTGGACAGGTGATATATCTGTTTAAAGGACTTTTAAGCCTCAGCTCCTCCAGTCCTTGAAGCAACATTATTGAGGTTCCCCCCCCTTTTCTTATGGCTCTCGAGGCCTAACTGTTCCTTTGGAAACGTTGCCATTGGAAACCTATTCATTCATAATACATGAATAGACCCTCTGCGTTGTGAATACCATTGATAAGAAGAGGATGAACAAGCTGCAAGCAATTTGTTCTCCTCAGGCTGTACTTTCAGCTAGTTGCAGCTCTGGCTGGGTGGATTTCAGTGATAGCAGTGTATTAGCAACACAGAATTCTGCTCTTTTAGGAAGAAATCCTAGGAACTGAATAGTTATGTTTCCCTGATGTCTTTTTCTTGGCTGGGCTGCAGAAACTAATAGAGAATTTTTGAATAGTTACGTTTCCCTGATGTCTTTTTCTTGTCTGGGCTGCAGAAACTAATAGAGAATTTTATAACTGTTCAGGAATTCCTGAGCTCATTTGAAGATACCTGTAGAAAGCGTGCACTTTCCTATTACATGTCTCTACCTGAAACAACTCTTCTGGAACTGTTATTTGCCGTACCTAACGTGTTTTATTCTTTTCCTCTTTTACTAATGCAATAGGAAGTTCCTTTCATATGGGTGGGGCTGCACCCTGCCTTTCGTTCCTGAAGCCATGCATGTGTAGCAAGGCAAGGCTTTCCACTAGCTTAGAGAGCCATTGTTGTCTCCTTTCTTTGCTGTATAGTATATTTTGAATGAAAATTGATAGTCGTATCTCCAAGCAGAAGGAAAACGAACAATGTTATTTTTGGGGTGGCTGAGGAGATAACAATCCTTGATCCTCAAAGGGGTGACAAAGGCTGTATGTTTCAGAATCCTTTGCTGCACTTGCTTTAGCAAACCTGAACTGCATTTTGAGTATGTGCCTCTTATAGATAAATGGGTGAGGGGGTTTGTAGTGTTTCGTGCAATGTTTCGTAAACCTTTGCCTTTGCACGTTTAAATTATGAAGTGTAGCTGTATGGAAAAGTGATTCTCAGACTTATTGTCAAAGCTCATGCTTCAGCTGCTCTTTATTAGGCTGTGAAATATAATGAACCTCCAGGAAGCACTCCAGCAGGGTCTGAGCTCAGTAGATGCTCCTACAAAAAAGAACATTTTATTTGTCAAACTAGTGTTACTTTGCAAAATCTCCCAGACTACAAAAAAGAACATTTTATTACTAGTGTTACTTTGCAAAATCTCCCAGTGCTAATACATCTGAAACTTCAGTTGCTGTCATAAGGAACTGTTGCAAGCACAGCAGTAAATCAGAAAAAATACTGTCTTTGGTGAAATTCAAAAGCATTATCTAAAATCTCCAGCTTTTCCTCAAACAGTCTTTGTACAGTTGCTTTAATTGAGTGAATGAGCAAAATCATCGTTCTCATAGCTAAATCATATTCATCAAAATTGCATCAAAGGTGGAGTTGGCTCAGGGAGGCTGCACAATCCTGCAAACCCTATACGCAAAAAAAAATTTTTAAAAAAGAACCACTTGTGTAAGAAGTTGTTCTACCAGGTAGATCTTGAAATGTACTGATGGAATTCTCTTTCGAGGTGCATGTTTTAAACCTGATTTATGTGAGCACAGGGGATAAATGACAATCATGGTCTCCTGTGTTTCAGACAAAATGTAGAATATTCAAAGTACTGATTTCTGAATTGTTAATGGTTGTGTTTCAGACAAAACGTAGAATATTGAAAGTACTGATTTCTGAATTGTTAATGGTTTCTTTCACTGACAAAGCTTAGAGTGTGAACATTTGAAAAAAATGTGGCTGGCAAGAACTTTGTGTATGAAATGCTAAGAATTACTTGATTTTGCAATGAGATTGGGGAAATGTAAAAAAACTAAGATGAAAATCAGATTCAATCAATATTAATTTTTTCAGGCAGCAGCAGTTTTTCTTGTGTAAGTACTATTTGCTGGTGTAGCTTTACTTGATAAGGGAAAGATGAAGCACAGAAAATACCTGGTTGCTAGAGAACTTTCTTCTGTTAAATGACAGGCAGCATTCACTGGAGACCTATTCTTCCATATCTTAAGTACAGGGTTTTTTCAGCAGTCTCTGCTCAGTCTATAACAAAAAAATGTATACTGTTTGTGTGTCCAATTTGGAAACTGTGCTTGTGCTAAGGTCTTCCTGCTTCTGATTATCTTCCTGTTTTGTGTGGGTCCCTGTCCCTAATGTTTGAGGAGGGAGAATGGGAGGCAAACACAGCTGTGTCAGTGGTGAAATGAATTTTCTTTTGAAATTCATCACTGATGTTCCACATGTTATGCTGCCAAATGTATGAATACGTTAATGTGTCTTTGATTGTCTGCTCTTTGTAATCTGTTTTGTAAAGGCTAGATGTTTTGGTTCCACTGCTTGTAAATCCATCTATAACTCAAGCTTTTAAAAAGTAACACAGGTTCCTAATTGATCTCTTAAGGTTTATTGTGTGCGATTTATGGCATTTAAATAGGAAAAATTAATTTGTGTTTATATAATATTCACATTTTTTTCTTACTATGGGAAATTATTTTTTTAAATATAGGAAAAAAGATAAAAAAGGCATGAAAATAATATCAATCCTGAAATCCTTCCTTTTTGGTTCATGAACACACATGATATTTTATGAGTATTACAGCAATTTTTACTGTTGCAGATTCCTCTCTCTTGGGAAAAAAGGAAACAAAAGGGCCTGCCATAAGTGTTTTCCATCAAATTAAATGTCAGTTAGTACTCTTGGGTATTTTAATTGAGAATAACTTCATGCTGCTGTATTTGCTAGCACAGAGACGATGCCCCAGGAACCTGTTATCAGGAAAGTCAGTACATCATGATCCATAATCACTGTCATTACCCTCGAAACAGCCACTTGCTCAGTGTAGTATGTAAGCTATCCCCATATGGCTAAATACACAGTTCACGAATAACAGCATGGGTTCAACTCTGCCAGAGTAGTGTGCTGTGCATTCAAGCACAGGAAAAAGATCTAAGGTCCATTCCAAACCCTAAAATTCTATGAAAAATACTATGAAAATGATAAAATGCTACACAGCTCATGCAAATCATTGCAGAATTGAGTGACCTTTGAATGATAGTGATCAGCACGGAGGCAGAGGGCTCGTTATTTCTGTCTTGGAAAGCCTGAACTGCCCTCAAGCCAGGTGTCAAATTGTCTGAAATGGATGACTAAAAACAGGTAGAAAATGTTTGGGTAAGAAGTTAGACCCTCAAGAGCATACCTGCAGTGAAGAAGCATGGCTGGGCATGCTGCTGACAGAGGAGAGGAGCCCATGTTCTGTTGTGGGTACAGGAGGGCTGGCAGAACTCAGTGCTGCGACAGAGTTGCTGCAGTCAGCTCCCTGGAGAGTGAGCCTGTGCCTCCCAGCACTCCAGCCAGCCAGAAACGCTGATGGAGAGGAGTTCTTGCTGGGCTACCCTGCCAGGGCCACCCTGCCAGGGACTCTGCTTGCCAGGTTTTCCTGAACTATTTTAGCCAGCAGTTTGCTTTTCTCTAAGGTTGCTTCCTTCCTTTTCCTCCTGTCTTCTCTTTCCACATATTAATCCTGTTGTCTATAATCTGTACCTCCAGCTGAAAATAAACTAAAGTTTTTCTCTCCCTGTGCCTTGCTGCAAGACAGGAGGTATTGCAAGCCTGCTGTCATCCCTTTAACCTGTGATATTTCTGTCAGTCAGTAGACTGTTTTATTACTCTTTTATTTCATGCTTTATATGTCAGGTTATGAAGATTCTTCAGTCCTAGAAACATGATTCTTACTACTTCTTCTGCTAGAATGCCATTTTTCTTGCATTTATTATTTGGATATGCTTCATGTACCCTTCACCCTATCTTTGACAATTCTCAGCAGCTACCAGTTGCCTCTTCTTTGCTCAGTTTCTTCTATCATGAGGTTTTTCACCTCACCCCATTTGAGCATTCTCTTCCCAGGGGCTGGCTGGTTCTGGAGCTTCCTTCTTGGGGGCTTCCTGGAGTCCAAATCTTCCATATTTTTGGCAAGACAAGAACTGATGAGGGAAAACAATTACTAGGTGGACCATTTTCAAATCTTGTCTGTGATGCAGCCATTTGACTGGCTGGTGCAGTTCCAGTTCAAGCATTTTGCACAAGTACTGTAGATAAAAGAAGGCCCATATTTGTTAGCACTGGCTGAACCTACTGGTGCAAGAATGTTTTTATTGTGGGATTTCTTTAAAACCCGACAGCCACATAACTCTTTCAGTCCAGAGGCAGTGTGCCTTTCCAGAATGCCTGCTCAGACAGGGGTGGTGTAGACTTGGCTGACTGTTTCACAGGCTCTCATCGGTGATAAACCATTTTAGAAGTTTAATTCTTCACTGTTTTGGTTTTATATGGAAGTATGAATTCCTGCATAAGGATGAAATATGAATGAATTAGCCATTGATTTTGTTATTTCATGGAGTTTATAAGCTGTTTTTCTTCTTTTCTTTGTTTCCCCACCCCGCTCCAGCAGTGTGCAGGGTAGAAGGGAACAGGACCCATATGTCAATGGTCTAGGATGGCCAGTGAAGGCTCCAACATCCCAAGTCCTGTGGTCCGTCAGATTGACAAGCAGTTTCTGATTTGCAGCATATGCCTGGACCGTTACAAGAACCCCAAAGTACTTCCCTGCCTGCATACTTTCTGTGAGAGGTAAGTCCTTTCCTCCTGCTCGTAACTCAGTCATGCAGCAAGCACAGAACAGTGCAGCCTTTAGTGCATGGGGACTTTCCTCTTTACTTGCAAAGGTCATGTTAAGGCATCACAAATTCTGGGAAGGCTGGAGAGGCAGGGTTGTAGAAAAACACATTTGTGGCAGGCAGGAAGAAGAGTTGGCAGTGGGATATTTGGAATATGTTTCCTTTATGCAAGAGTAAATAAAAAGTAAATCCAATTAAACTAATGAATACACTTACAACAATGTGAAAGGTAATGACAGCCAGAATTTGGACCTCAAATTAATGGCCTCAAATTTATAGTGATTAACCTATAATTAGAAACAATAAAAAACATTCTTTGTTGATTTACTAAGCCGAGAAATAATTATCCCATCCTTTAATGTCCAAGGATTAGACATGATATATACATTATTAATAACCTGTGATTAAATGTCTTCATTATTCTGCAGCTTGGTTGACTGAAGTGGAAAAACTCTCTGAAAAGAGATGTGATAAATAAGCAACCTGCCTTCTACTGTGTTCAGCTGAATGAACTGAGTATACATAGTGATACTTTAATGTTGTATTATCCATAAAATGGTGGAGAAAATACAGCATCTGCAGAAAAATTAGCTGAGGAATTAGTGGTTAGAGTTCTTTATCTGATGATGGGATGCAACTCTTTGGATTATATATTGAATGGCAGGATAAAAATTAATAAATGGTATGTGGTATGAACATTTATTTAATTCAGAATATTTCCACCTCTTAGTTAGAATTGTGGTTTGCATATCTAACTTTGCACAGGGTGCAAGAAAAATTGTGGACCTCTGAATGTGTCAGATGAACTGGTCTTTTGTAGAAGAATGGGAAATCCTGGTGTTACTGAAGGCAGCAGTGAAACTCTCACTGCAGTCAGTGAGGACAAGATTTTCACCACCATGCATTAAGTTTCATGACTTCAGTTCATGTGTAAAACCTAAGGTCAGCTTCTGGTTTTCACTGTAATCCTCTTATGCTGATCTGGTTATGGAGAGAGGCTGGAAGAACTCTTCCAGTGTACTGCTGATGTGCAAAGCCTAAGCATTCCTTTCACAGAGCCCTTACAGGGGGGTCAGGAGGAGGGCTGCCAAGGGCAGATGAACTGTGGTGCAACCAAAGCCCTTGGAAGTGGATAAGAGCTGTGGAGCTATGTGAGGTCACACTTTCTCAGTTGGCATCTCATGAGGAATTTGGTGTGGTGCTGCTCCCCCTAAGAACTGCATTCTGCACAACTTCCTGTACTTACAGGACTATACTGAATTGTCAGTCGCAGTCAGATGTTATATGCCCAACAGGTGTAAACTTCCTTTTCAAGGCCAAAAGTGGCGTTAACCTAGGCCAGACTGCTGCATGTTGTTGATCACAGAACTTTTGGGACACATTTATATTATGTGAAATTTATATTTTCTAAAAAACCACAGCTATCTTCCCTCCCCCTGGTCAAACAGAAACAGACAAAAATCTCCTCCAAAACTCCCCTTAACAGAAACTGTGATAACATAGGATGTACTTTCCTATGTGGTAAAGAAAGCTCTGTTGATTCTGGCTAGTTGCCAAATAACTTTCCTAATTGAAACACATGAAAATATCTCCACTGGCTTCATTGGGACCATGTTTTACCTCTGAAACACTAAACCCACAAATACAAGTTCATAAAAGAGATTCTATTGGAAAGACAAGGGTCAACCACCGGTTAGTCAGTTAAAGACACAGGCTCAAATACTTGATGCAACTTCATGTCTGTCAAGCTTTATCTGATAGTTTATGATTTTTACTATCCTGTGAGCAGGGTGCAGTAGATGTCTGGAAGCATGAATCAACTGCATGAATATCTCAGAGAAAGGCATATCACTCTTTTAATGATATCATCTTATTGAACCTTTTTTCATGTGGCAGAGGAAAAAAGGTTTAAAGGAAAAAAATATTCCTCATAACCACTTTTATTTCTGAAGCCTGTTAATATACCTTTCCTTTTATAATTAGGGGTAACACTATTTCAAACCAGTTCTTTAAATGAAGGAAGTTTTTCTTCCCTTTGATGATACTTTTGCTCTCTCTCCCCTTCCACCTCCCTTCCCCATAGGTGTTTACAGAATTACATTCCAGCCCACAGCTTAACCCTGTCTTGCCCCGTGTGCCGCCAGACCTCCATTCTGCCAGAGAAAGGGGTTTCTGCACTCCAGAACAACTTCTTCATCACCAACCTGATGGATGTCCTGCAACGAACGCCGGACAACAGCATCGAGGAGTCTTCCATTTTGGAGACTGTCACTGCTGTTGCTGCAGGCAAACCGCTCTCCTGCCCCAATCATGATGGAAATGTAAGTGAGATATGATCTCCTGTGATATGGTTGGGTTTCCCTAGCTCACTGGCTTGTAAAATCAACTCTTGCTGTGGGGACCTGTGTGTTTGTTTAGGAAATATGTGACAGGGACCTTATAAACTTAACTGACCTGCACACTGAGTCAGTACCAAAAGGTATGTGAACATATTAGCATGGAGCCAAATAAAAGTGAGTCCTATCTTAGGATGCTCTGGGTCAGCACAGGCTACAAACAGAGAGCTTCTGTTTATCTGCAGTGTTTTGTGCATCTCGTGTATCAGTCCTCAGAGGCTGCTTTGTTTTTTCCCTCCACCTACTTTTTTTACCTAGTATGTCCCCACATACATCTTCAAATCATATTAGTGCATTGTTGGCAAGTACCCCCAACTGAGTACATACTCACAGATTACTGCAAGAACAGCTCTAACTCTGCTTACTTCACAATTTTCAGTGTTAACCCGTGTGACTTCATGGTAGGCATATGAGCTCCTGACTCATAGCCAGGCTTATGCAAAAATGTAAGTAGACCATGTTGCAAAGCTCAGCAATGCTGTGTTGTAAACAGAATGCTGTGCTTCTATGCAAGCCAAGAAATGTGTGCTAGTAGTTTAAGACAACGTTCTGAGGACTATTTTATTTGATACTCAGTTTAGTTGTACCGGTTATATAGGAATAATTCAGCTGATAGGTAATGACTGCTGTTAGAGAGGAACAGTTCAGTCCCCTCTCCTTTGCTGACCTGTTGGAATTAGGTGGATTTATAGAACTGAATTGCTGTACACTCAGATTAATGAATAACTGCTGTAACTTTTTTTAATGTGTACTGTACCTATGTGTGTGTAGTGGTTACTGATTGATACATTCCTAGTTTTATTTGCATTTTGCTGTCTCTCATGAAAATCAATCACAGTTCTTTTCTGATTAGCCATTGTGATAGGAACCATTTGATTATGAAATGCAGAAAAAAGTCAAAGTGAAGGCATTACTTGTTTTGCATTTTAAATTATCAGCTGATTATTCTTTGGGTGCTCTTAGAAAAAAATGGTTTGTCTACAATGAAAAATATGCCACCTTATACCTCTCTGAGAATTCCTTACTAGGGAAAGGTGGATTTGTAAGTCCTCTAAACCAAACTTACTTGGCTTGCCTTGAAACATAGCATGTCTTTTAGGATGCCGAATAGTGTGTGATGGGAATTTCTTCTTGCTCCAGCAAGTATCTGACAGGGCTGGGGATAGGCTGAGGATAATTCAAATTTAAAGCTTTGTGGAGCTAGGAAATTAAAAGCTAAAGTGCACACATTAGTCCTTGTGATGGGAGGAGGTGAGGTAAGCTTTGGGGAGAGCTGCTTGAGGCTGGCCAGGTGGGTCTGGCTGAAGGACAGAGTGCATAGGGCAAGTTGCTGGGCACCTTAGGCCTCACTGAGGAAATGGGATTTTGCTGGGTTCATAGATACACAGCATGAGGGCACTGCATGGCATGTAAGTTAGATATTAGGAAAAGGTTCTTCACCCAGAGGGTGGTTGGGCACTGGAACAGCTCCCCAGGGTAGTGGTCACAGCACCAACCCTGACAGAGCTCAAGAAGAATTTGGACAATGCTCTCAGGCACATGCTGTGATTCTTGGGGATGTCCTGTGCAGGGCCAGGAGTTGGACTTCGATGATCCTTGTGGGTCCCTTCCAACTCAGGATATTCTACAGTTCTATGATTCTAAGAGCCTGGCTGCTAGCAGCTTTACTGGGGGCTTCAGGAAGTGAAAGACGAATGAGCTGGTGGCTGGAGGAGAATGCCTTCACAGAACCAGCAATCATTCTGCATTGAATCCTCCCTCCATTAATCATTACATATTGCTTGGGGCAGGGTCAGACCCGGACCCACTGTATTTTTAATATTTGCATTAAGTATATTTCTTTTAAACATTACCAGATTTTCTTTGTATTAGCTTGGAAATAAATTTCTGTTTAAACAAGTTTTTTCAATCTTCTCAGCCATGCTGGTTTTAAACATCTCTGATTAAGATCAGATAGAAACTGATACACAGATACTTTCTCATTGGCTTGCCTGTCTGCTTTAACAGCCTCCTCAGGCCATGTAGATTAGACACTTTTGCTTCCAGTTGGTCTCTTATTCCCACCACTCATATTTTCTGTGTGTGTGTATTCTATTCCCTCTGTGCACATCTTCTCAATCTCTTTGTTTGTGGCATCTTTGTTGTGTGTGTTCTTATGAAAAATGAAACTTAGCCTGTAGTATCTTAACACAAGAGATGATTCCCTGTGCTTGCACTACAAGCAAATACTTCCTCATATTGACCCAATGCAGAGCACAAATCTTTATTCTTGTCAAATCAGGGCAAAGAGGGTACATATGGAACTTCTGAACCTAACAGGAGATTCTTATCTTCTACCTACACTTTGAAATAAAATTGGCTTTATTCTCAGCTGCTAAACACCTGCAGCTCTTGTTGTGTAAAAGCATCCTGGATTGGAAACATTGATCTACAGTCATTCAGGGGCAGGTACAGCAGCCAGGACAGGGAAGGTTCTGAAATTCTAGCTCCATTACTTCATAGTATATATTAAGTGATGCAGCCTCCTTGCAGCCACCCACCCTGAAAAGTCCATGTTAGGGTTTTATTACTTCATAGTATGTATTAAGTGATGTAGCCTCCTTGCAGCCGCCCACCCTGAAAAGTCCATGTTAGGGTTTTATTTGAATTTGAAGTGGAAACCAAACCCATGCTTTTACAGGTGTGAAGTATGTTCTGAGTGTAACAAGGAACAATATTAAATTAAATGCTTGTCTATCTCTGACTAGCTTTTTCTCAGGTTTGAAGTGCAAACCAGACCCATGCTTTTACAGGTGCGAAGTATGTTCTGAGTGTAACAAGAAACAATATTAAATTAAATGCTGTCTATCTCTGACTAGCTTTTTCTCAGAAGATCACAGTATAGCTTGGCAACCTGACAGGCGTAAGATCTTGTCTAGAAAAACATTTCTTAAACTTGTGTAGGTGTTGCTTATTGCCTGTATTCTTCTTTTAGAAAAATGAAAAAGCACCTATCCTTGATACTCTGATGAAGTGACTTCATATCATATCTTTTAAACCTTGGTTTTTTTCCTCACCTCTATACTTCCCACCATGTCACTGATTTGTGTATCCCACTGAAGTATAATCTATCTTTTTCTGTACTCTGCAATATTCAGTGTGTCATTGAGGTCAAATAAAAAGTTCAGAATGTCAGAGTTAGCATCTTAACGAGCATTAGAACTAATAAACTGAGCTCACTGCTGGTGAAATTTTATTCCACCTCACATGGAACGTTTAATCCAGTTAGGAAGCAACTGTGTGACCTATACAATCATATCTGACTGAATCAGAAAGTCATACAGGCGGTTTGGGTGGTTCTCTTCTATGTAAGCGTGTTGTTGAAGTCATGACGGTATTAACAAAATTATCGAGCATTAGAACTAATAAACTGAGCTCACTGCTGGTGAAATTTTATTCCACCTCACATGGAACGTTTAATCCAGTTAGGAAGCAACTGTGTGACCTATACAATCATATCTGACTGAATCAGAAAGTCATACAGGCGGTTTGGGTGGTTCTCTTCTATGTAAGCGTGTTGTTGAAGTCATGACGGTATTAACAAAATTATAAATTTGCTTATGTCATTTAAGTCATGACGGTATTAACAAAATTATTCTAAAAATTTGCTGAAATTCTCATATCTACAGCATGGGTAAGACAAAAGCTATGACTAGGGAGAATAAAACCCCGCATTCTAAATTTTATCAGATATCTGAGAAGTGCCCTCAGATAATTCAAACTTACATTCTTCTAAAAGCCTAAACATACAAAGCTAAGGTACACACTAGCCCTGAGACAGAGGAATTAAGCATGTGTGTGAGATGAGGAAGAAGACTGGCAAAGAGCTGACTCATCCTTTTTCTCTAGGCTGCTCTTTTAATTCAAACAAATGGAAAGCAGAGGATGAGCAATATGATTATTCCAATGTGATTTTAGAGAAGAGGGGCTAATAATTGATGAGCCTTTTTCTCAAGACCTGAACTTTGAAAGGCTGAAATTAGTGTGCCTTAGCTTGGTGAAATCTAATTCAGAAGTACTTGCGTACTTGATTATGCAAATATAAAAGTTTCTGTAAATTCAGTTAAATTATAGTAGTGAGGATGTGTATGGGTCTCCAAGGGCATCACTGTGCCCCAATATGCTGGTCTGCTTAAAGGTGGGAGTTAGTGGATAGTATTTCAGAACCAGTGGATATTAATTCACATTTCATTACAGTGTGTGGGAATGTTCTCATTAAATTCAGTGAAAATACAGCTGAAGCCAGTGTTGGATGCCATGGTATATCTTACCCAAAAACTCTCTTCAGTTTGGAAAGGAGAAATTTGGGGAAATGTTTTTTCTGAGATATTTGTAAAGCAAACCTGTTATAATGCAAAGCTTTCGGGGAATGTCACAAAATGTGATGCCCATGTTGGGCATGGAGGGGAGAGATGAAAAGCCAGTAATACATGTCTGTCTGTAGTTAGAAATTAATCTTACCTGAATAAGAAATTCTAAGAAGGAATCTTAGGAAATTACCTTATCTAGGCACTTGAAGCCTGAATTGTATTGATATTTAGTTTTCTTTCTTCTTCAGCTATGGCACAATCCAAAAATTTTAGTGGGAAATGTAAGCTGCTTCACTCAAAACATTTTGAATTTGAGGTAAAGATGACTATTTCTATGCAGATATATGCATTAGGTCTTTATGGTCCAGTTGCTATTACCATTCTAGCTTATGTGTTTCTCTGGTGCTTGAATAAAGAGGAAGAAAATTGTTTAGGCTAAATTGTAATATGCAAATGAGGTGCTTTCTTTCTTATATATGTGGCTGCAAATGTAATTATTTTATTATGAGGTGTTCAATAGGAAACAGAAATATCAAATTATTCTAATTACTGTATACCAATATAAAAATATTGAATAAGTAAAGGGCTTGTTAAAATATCTTGAACCTAAGCATTAAATTATGATGAGGAAGAAACATGAACTCTGGACAGTCATTCAAAAGAAATGAAAATTTTTTGACCATATAAAAATATTCTTCATTTTGGTTGTTTCTGGTTGCAAGTTTTTGAAGCCTTTGAAAAGAATGTAAATCCTAAACTCTGTTTAACTCACTTCCCCTCTGCACTGTAAGAATGCATCACATCATAGTGCCTGCCAAAGTAACTGTCAGGCCTCAGAGGATCTACTACCATGAGACTGCTACACTCACAGTGACTGAAGTAGTGTTGATGAGGGTTGTCATTGTTTATAAGCTCTACTTTTTTTTTCTCCTTGCTGATATATTTGCTCTTACACAGGTTATTTGGAGCAACTTCTAAATTTTCTCTGAAGTGGCTGACTCAAATGGCCAACAAATGACTAAACCCTCACTGCAAGTGAATCCCGTATCTTGTGAATTGAGATAAGAGGGAAGAATGGGAATAAGCCAGAAAGGAGCTTATCAGAGGAAAATCCCTATTAATGCTAATAGCCACATGCAAACCACGGTTCTTGCTTCCCCCTCCTTAATTCTCAAGATGCCTTGGAGCAGCCAGCTACTTTGCACGGTGCTATTACAGGTCCCTCTGCTCTCCTGAAAACAGCTGGTTCTACACAACCACCTCATCATCAGCCAACATCTTCAGCACAACCATATTTGTGTGAGATGTCTGAGTGCCAGAAGCATCAGCCCAGTTATTCAAGATTCTGATGCTATGTTCTGAATGTATTTGTGCGAGATGTCTGAGTGCCAGAATCATCAGCCCAGTTGTTCAAGATTCTGATGCTATGTTCTGAATGCAAAAGAGCTGCCAGTGTCTTGCTTTGAAGCACACACTAGGAGCTTCGTTATATCCTTTTAATAAGCCTAAAATGCTTTGTGCCCGAGGATTTCCTAGCTGTATAAGAAAGTCTCATGCTGTATTTGCATATATGTGCATTATTTTGACTAACATGTGATTTTGGGCTCAGCACTTCTCTGCTTCTTTCCCTTCATGAATATATTCAGAATTTGGGCTACCTATTACATGCAAAGATCTATTTTTATCTCTAGACAGCATCTTACTGGGTAGGTACATAATAGGTTGAAACAATTTCCTCTTTCAAGTGTAGATCAGCACTCTTATAATCTCAGGTATGAGGTTTTGATGGTTTTAAGGGATTTGCAATGGGACATGCAGATTTTTGCCCACAGCATGTTGGTTCATTTAGGGTGCTTTTCTCTAAGAAATACACATGCTGTTTGGTGAGTTGCATCGTGTTCATGTTCCACTTGTGACCCTGTTATGAAAAGCTACCTACGTTTACACTGTCTTCGGCAGACTCTCTGGGAAGACTAAGGATTGAGTTAGAGAGGGTACTTGAATGCCCCATCTTTTGGAGTTGTTTCACAGAATGCTTGAGAGACACCAAAACTTACTCTTACACAGTATAAAGATAATGTTAGCACCATTATTGAAGTCCAGCATTGTTCCCATGCTGCTGTTCTGACACTTTCTGATAGAATAAAATGCATTTAAAGTAGCATTTTTGGTGTGAAATATGTAACAATAACAGCCATCTTTTAGGCAGTAAGTTATTGGTGTCTAAGAAAAGTGAAGCTTTACCTCAGAGCTTAGATAATAACATGAGTTCAAGACCCAGTAAGATGTGTTTTGAGTTATGTTACTGCAGCAATGTTTGAATATAAAGTTGTGCACTTTTCCAGGTCATGGAGTTTTACTGCCAGTCCTGTGAGACAGCTATGTGCAGGGAATGCACTGAGGGAGAACACGCAGAGCATCCCACAGTACCACTCAAGGATGTGGTGGAGCAACACAAGGCTTCCCTCCAAGTCCAGTTGGATGCTGTCAACAAAAGGTATGGAGACCCCACTGATTATTTTCCATTTTCAGTTCTGTCACTGACTTCCCATGTTACCTTGGGTATGGTTGGATGCTGAAAAGATGAAGACAAACACTATGGCAGCATAAAGGCTGAAATAAAAAGTGGGGTAGATCTAGTTATTGGCAAAAAGGCTAAAATAAAAAGTGGGGTAGATCTAGTTATAACTTCTTGAGTAGATACGTTTGCATAAAGGATGGAGGATCCAATGCCAAAAGTCTAATGGATTTAGAATCATAGAATCAACAAGGTTGGAAAAGACCTCCAAGATCATCAAGTCCAACCCTACCATGGTTACTAGACCATGGCACTAAGTCTTGTCTTGAAAATCTCTAGGGATGGTGAATCCAACACCTCCCTGGGCAGCCCATTCCAATGCATGATTACTGTCTCCATAAAAAATCTCTTCCTAATAGCTAACCTAAACCTCCCCTAGCAGAGCTTGAGTCTGTGCCCTCTTGCCTGGGAGAAGAGACCAACCCCCACCTGACTACAACCTCCTTTCAGGCAGTTGTGGAGAGTGATAAGGTTCCCCCTTGAGCCTCCTCTTCTCCAGGCTAAACAACCCCAGCTCCCTCAGCCTCTCCTCATAGCACTTGTGCTCGAGTCCCTTCACCAGAGGCTGTGGCTGAGCCTTATTTTATCAGAACAGACCCACTCTGTGGCTATAAAAGGAACAAAGTTCTGGGAAATGATGGAGTTTAAAAACAGCCTGCTGAGGAGAGGGTTTCATCAGAAGATACCAGGGCAAGGGCCAATGCTTAATGACTTTTGAAACAGCAGTCTTTGTAATTTAATTCCTCCCTCAGGCTTCCAGAGATCGACTCAGCACTTCATTTTATATCTGAAATCATACACCAGTTAACCAACCAAAAGGCCAGCATTGTAGATGACATTCATTCCACTTTTGATGAACTCCAGAAGACTTTAAATGTGC